AGAGAGAGCGAGAGCGAGAGAGAGAGAGAGGGAGAGAGAGAGAGCGAGAGAGAGAGAGAGAGAGAGAGAGAGAGAGAAAGAGAGAGATCTATAATTTATAATAATATGTAGACCTTTATTTTACATGGGTGTGGCCGAAAGACAGCAGTAAGAAGGAGCCAAGAGGTAGCAGTAGAAAGGCTGCAGCAAGAGCCAGGACCGCAGAGGAGGGGGCAAAGGGGAGGTGGGAGGGGGCATATTATATAAGTACCGAAGATAAGAGGTTGAGATTTAGTAAGAATTGTACGTCACTTGCAACACAATTAGGTCATATTGCTACAAGAGGGTAACAAACACAAAGACGGAGGAGGAGAGATAAGAGCGATAGATATTTGATAAGAAAAAAGGAGCAAACCACACCAGAGCACCCGCCAACCATCTACTAACTACACCATTGGCAGGTCGGCAGGTCATAGTGTCATCATACCGTCGCTTTCATTCAACATTGTAAGCTAAGTAGGCCTACATGAGTGTATCAAATATTTCGAGGGAAAAAAATGAAATTTTAATTATATTGTAGAGTTTAAAGAGACGAATCAATTGGTCTTATACCCAGTGCCCATAAGCACGATCGACTCAGTTCGGTTCGGTTCGGTTCGGTTCGGTTCGGTTCGGTTCGGTTTGGATGGTAGGCGGGCTAGCCAGATTGAGGGCGAAAAGCGACCATCTTGGCACAACTGAACAAAGCCGATGGTGACCTTGAAAAACAAACGTGTTTGTTTTCAAGGCCACGAGTCGGGCCATCGGTTTGTGTAAGAGAACCGATTCTCCGGTGAGCACTGAGTACTAGTCCCTTTCCACTTCTGATTAAAATAATAAAGGATTTAGACGAATAAACATTTTATATTATTATGATGTTCCTGAAATAATAAAACGTTTCTGTTTGTTTGTTTGATTGTTTGTTTGATTGTTTGTTGATTGTTGGGTTTTTGGTGGTTTTTTTGCTTCTCCTTTAAATGACGGCAAAAACAGAATTATACATCTATTATTTTAAAGAGAGGACGACGCCATAGTTATCTTCGAGCAGTATGAAATGGCCAACATTCAGCTGGGAAAGATTAGGACAGAAGAAACACGAAAAAAGTAAAAGGCATAGTTACAGACCAGTAAAAAATCAGCCAATCATGGAGGAAGCAATTTGGAGCAGGAAGAGATAAGTGGCCAAGACCCCAGTATCCATTCGGGAACGTCTCCGACGGAGATAGACCAATTAAAATGCCTTTTGCCTCTGGACCAAGTAAAAATAATCTGGGGGGTTACAGGGGGCATGCCTCCAAGTTTTAACTCATAATTTGACATTTTGCGGTTAGGCTTGAAATTTTCTTGAAACTAATTGATTTACGACAGTTCTGGTAGCTATATCGTGTGTGACCTGCAGCAAATAATACGCAGTTTGACTCAAAAAGCAGTGCATCTATGTGCATGAGTACGTTTCCGAATAGTTCCTGGGTGCTCGCCATAGAGACGTCTCCGAATATAATCTTCTGCCGCAACTGCCGGCTAAAACAGGGTCTCTGAGCTCGAGAAACATAATAATGTAGTTCACTTACGTTCCAGTAAAATGTGACATTTCTCCTTCCGCTTTTACACTTGGTTGACACGTAACTGCCAGCCGAGATGAGGGGTCCAACGGATGGAGCTGAAAATAGCAAGTTTGATAGCCTGAAATACCTTCTCACACAGAGCACTTACTGAGAACGGTTGGTTTCCTTCCTGCCTGTCAACACTCTCCTTCTGCATAATTATTGGCTTCCGAAAACAAGAAGAAGACTTAGGGCCCATACAACTTTTTAAAAAGCGTCAAAATTTTGATGAGAAATGTTTATACAAAATTTTTATACACTATTGCCCACACACGTTTCATTGCTCTTCATCAAAATTCAGTATTGTCAAAATCTTCGACATGTAAAGAAAGGGAAATCGAGAGATTCTTTTCCTCTTCACATACATTCTGATTTACAGAAAAAAGTGGGGGAAAAGAAAACTCGGTTTGATTTATATGAGAAAGAAAGGTCACAAAAGTGAGAAAGAGGGAAAGAAAGGAGAGAGAGGGACGAAGGGGACGCGATTGAGTGGGACCAGAGGTGAGCTGGAGAAGAGAAGGAAAGAGATTAAGGAAAGAGTAAGGGAAGATACAGAGAGAAAGAGAGAGAAAGAGATGGAGAAAGACAGTGTAAGAGAGAAGCAGAAACGATCCTGTCTCCTCGGCGGTCACTTGCGAAACATTAAAGTTTGATCCAAATTTTAACAGGAGTCCACACACGACTAAAAAATTTGTCGACTCGTCAAACAATGTCAAACGGGTTTGTCCGTCAAAATTTGAATTCAAATCTTTTCTCTTTTTTTTACCTATAAACGCCCTAAACAATTTTGATACAAAATGTTTCGCTTTTTTACCGTATGGGCCCCTTTACAAATCTGTAAAACCACTCACGGCACAGTGGTGAATTAAAACTCTCTCTCTCTCTCTCTCTCTCTCTCTCTCTCTCTCTCTCTCTCTC